AGAGAGAAAGAGAGTTCCCCCTTCGTTCGAACCTCCGTCCCCCTTCTTCCCCCGATTTCCCAGCCTCCCTCCCCTTCTTCCCCCGATTTCCCAGCCTCCCTCCACCTTCTTCCCCCGATTTCCCAGCCTCCCTCCACCTTCGTAAAAGAACGGCAAGCGCGGAACAGCTGATTTCCCAGCCCCGATTTCTCTCTCTCTCTCTCTCTCTCTCTCTCTCTCTCTCTCTCTCTGTGTGTGTGTGTCTTTGTGAGGCATGCGCTCCGAGTTTCTTCGAGGTGCGTTCCAATCGAATGGTGGCCTACCTCTCCAGAGCACCCACCTTCAAATGGCGGGCAGGCGATGCGGCGGGCGGCGATTCTCGGACTGCCCCAAGCCGCCAACGGTCTGCAAAGTGTGCTGTGAGGGCGAGTAGCAGTGAGTAAAAAAGCAAAAATGGGGCCGGTCCAGGTGCCCTAAACGACCGGTACAGGCCCCAAAATTCAACTTGACATTTTTTGGGGGGCGCCCTGGACCCAAGGAACGGCTTCAGGGCGCCCCCTATTTTTTTCAAATTTTGGGGTTTCGGACCCCTCCGGATTGGCCTCCTACCGTCCGGCATCCGGACATCGGACCCCAGACCGTCTGGATGCCCGTCCGGATGTCCGCATGGTAGCCATGGTTCACAACAAAAAAAATCCACACCGATGTCCAGAGATGGGGAGCCCAGATTAGCGCAGTTCATAAACTTCAATGACCGATCATATTATACAAAGCCAGAGTTTGTGTCACCAGGCGCTCATCAGCGTAGCATCATATAATACAGATTCAATGTTTGAGTCACCAAGCGCTCATCTGCGCAACACTCAGCAGCCTCAATCATCTCTCTCTCTCTCTCTCTCTCTCTCTCTCTCTCTCTCGGTTTGTATCTCACAATCTTGCTGCCTCGCTTTCTCTCCCTCTCTCTTTCTCGAACTCTCTCGGTCTCTGATTCTATGAGGATGACAAGCCTGAATACATCCGCCTCCTGCACATGCTCGACCTCTACTACGACAGGGCTCCCGGCTACGGCCGCCTGTCTTCCTCAGGAGAGCGCTGCCCAACAGGGCTCGTTAGAGCTAAGTCACTCGCAATAGCGCACAAGCACCAGCAGCGCTTCCTCCTCCTTGGGAATGAGCAATCTGTCTGAATGAGGCTGGGCCAGTCTTGTTACTGACTTGGACTGGGCCTGTACTTCACTCGGCCTCTGCTTGACTTGGCCTGGGCCTGACTTTGACTGGTACCGGTCGCGCCTGCTTGCTTTGGTATATTGAGGCCTAGCACCGTCCAGAATTTTGCTTGGAGCGCTGCTACATTTTGACTGTGGGACTGGCCTTTGAGGCCGGGTACCGGTTGAATTGTGACCTGTGTGGCCTAAGGGGTACCCGACTCGACACCTTTTCTGTTTTGGCCTTCCTGGCCTCTTTGGCTTGTGGACCTTGACCCTGGGACTCGAATTTGGGGTCTGCAACGTGAAATGGCCTTTCATTGTAACTAATTTTTTTTGTAAAAAATCAAACTAATTTAGTAATTTAGTAATTATTTCAACTTATATGAGGTTTGCATACTGGTTGATACTTGGTGGTGGCTTAACAAACACACCTTTTTTTTTTCCTTTCCTTTTTTTGGAAACACCTAGGTTGCGAGAGTGGCCCGGGACCACTTGCCCAGCCGGGCCAATAAAAATTAAAACAATAAAATTATAAAAATAATAGAAATAATAAAAAAACATTTAAATACATACATTTTAAAATTGGTAAAGAATTTTGATGTGACGCTGAGGCAAAAAAAAGGCAGATAACCGGGGAGTGATTTCGGAAATCACCTTGGCAGCCAGGATTTGTTCCCTTGGGGCCTCTTGAAATCTGTCTGAGCACTGCGGACAGCAGGGGGAGGACTAGTTTGACTTGCTGTTGCGGTTTGGCCACTTAGCAACTGTTTTTTTTTTTTTTTTTTCCCGAGTCCCGACCGAACACCACACACGATCAACCAACAGCAGTGCATGGAGTTAAGGAATTCTAAACAGAGCAGAACTGATACACTATCTCAGTTTTTTTTTTTTTTTTTTTTTTTTTTTTTTTTTTTTTCCGAGAGTATCTCAGATTTTAACTTTGGTTACTTGATTGATTAGTTCGAGCTTCAAAGATAGAACCAAGGTCAGGCAGGTTGCAGCTCTGCACATTCCAGTCCTCCAACCCGCAACACCAGACCTGAACAGAAAATAGAATTGACTAAATTAGTAAAAATTACTAAATTAACTAGGCTACCAGCCAGGCCGCCCGGGTCACCCTATTTTCCCAGACGGCCCGGCACTGCAAGGACCAGGGAAGGTCCTAGCAAACAAAAAAA